CTTTACTTTGCTCAGGAGCCTTTGGTGAGGGAGTTTGTTGAAAGTGTTTTAAAAGAACAGTTACCCGAAGTCTTTTAAATCACTAATATTCATATTTTCAAAGAACCCTGAAAAGTTAATGACCTTAGACTTACCTTTGCAGAAGCCATGTTGATTCTTCTTCAGCCAGACTTCCTCATTTATATCAGAGTTGGACAACTTGGGCTACAACTGTCAACAGTCTTAACTAGAATATCCAGTTGTGAAGGATGGTGAGAGCAGTACTCTAAAACATCTGGAGGACCACAAGTAACCTACCCCAGATTATTATGTGTGTACTGAAGGAAGGAGTCCCTGGAGAAGAGCCTAATGCTGGGAACAATAGATGGCAAAAGAAGAAGGGGACAGCAGAGGATGAGGTGGCTAGATGGAGTCACTGAAGCAGTTGGTGTGAGCTTAAGTGGACTCTGGGGGTTGGTGGAGGACCAGAAGGCCTGGAGGAATGTTGTCCATGGAGTTGCATTGGGTCGGACACGACTTTGCAACTAACAACAACATCTGTTACTTATAATGATGCATTTCAACAGTTTATCCATCAAGTTAAGCAGCATGTAATTTCCTGAATCTTTAAAAAGAACAGATTTGTCTCTTTCTACTCTTTGGGAATGGAAGTCAGCAGTTACAGGCTAGAAGACACAGAAGAATGAAAGAATGTTGTTGCTCTAGAAATAAGATAACATGATTCAGAAGCTCATGATCTGGGGATAGGTACAGATGGGAAGAGTTCCTTAAGCATTCCCTGATCGTCATGGCAGTGCACATTCTATATCAGAAATGGTAGCAACTGCAGATGAAATGCATCAGTAATAAAAGAGTTTCAGCAAAAAAAAAAAAATGTATTTCACTTACTGTGTGGGAGAAAAAGTGAAATTGTATTTATACTCAAGATCTGATCAGCAGTCTCAAAATGATTTCCTTCCAAGGCAGATTGAGATGGTGCCTTTTCCCTCCTCTTCCTACATGAAGACATGGTTTGCTTAGTAAATGTATTCCTGCAAGGCTCTTTGAGATATGGATCTGCCTTTCAAGACAATTGTACTCTTATTTGCCTAATCAAATACTGACAGGGCATTCCAGGTAGGCAGCCAGAGGCAAAATCCTAGCAACACTTGACTGGAAGTATTTGAATTCAGTTTTGAATTCAATTTATTTGAAGAAGTTATGAATATGGTTGAACGATCAGGTAGGGAGAGATTAAAAGGTGGGGAGCTGATAGAAGTATCTAGAATCATAGATTCTTAGAATAGTAGAACTGGAAGAGACCAGAGGGCTAGCAGGTCCAACTCCTTGCTCAGTGTAGGATGCCAAGTTAAACCATCCCTCTCAGATGACTGTCTGAATGCCTCTGGTGTGGGAGAGCCCTCAGCCTCTCTAGGTAATTGGTTCCATTGTCATACTGCTCTATAATAATCGTGAAGTTCTTCCTGATGTTCAGCCAGCCCCTGGCTTCTTGCAACTTGACCCTGTTATTCCATGTCCTGTGCTCTGCAATGACTGAGAAGAGATCTCAGCCCTCCCCTTTGTGACAACCTTTCAAGTACTTGGAAAGTGCTACCATATCTCCCCTCAGGGTCCTCTTTCCAAGACTACATATGCCCAGTTCTCTCAACTTCTCTTCATAGGACTTTGTTTCCAGTCCTTGGATCATCCTTCCTGTCTTCCTCTGAATCCTTTCCAGTGGGGCTGCATCTTTCTTAAACCATGGAGTCCAGAAAGTGACACAGTATTCCAGATAAGGCATAATCAATGCTGAGTCAAGGGGAAGTAATACTTCATGGAATTTGGAAGTGATGCTATTAATGCAGCCTAAAAATAGCCTTTGCCTTTTTTGCAGCCACATCACACTGTTGACTCATGTTCAGCTTGAGATCTGCAACAGTTCCAGGATCGCTCTTCTCACTTGCAGTATTTTTGAGTCAAGCAGTACCCATCTTGTAACTGTTTGGTTTCTTTTTCCTAGGTGCAGAACTTGGCATTTGTCCCTTCTGAATTTCATACTGTTGTTTTTAGCCTGGCCCAGTGCTCCAACCTATCAAGACCACCTTGAGTCATGTTCTTGCCTTCCATCACACTCAGTTTTGTGTTATCTGTCCCCTGCATCCACATGATTAATCAAAATGTTGAAGAGCACTGGGCCCAGGACTGAATCCTACAGTTACCTGTTGTTACCTCTCCCCAGTTTCAGAAGGTGCCATAGATAAACACTCCTTGAGGCCGACTCTGTAGCCAACTGTGGATTCCCCATGAACTAGCCCACTTGTAGCTAATTGCTAATCAGGATATCATGGGGCAATTTGTCAGACGCTTTGCTGAAGTCCAGATAAATTATGTCCACAGCATTCTCATGTAGCAGTCTACCTCTGAGCTATAGCTTTTCAGCAAAGAGACTGAAGCATCTTGGTTTCCTCCATTCTCTGTTTGTTGTACATTAGTATCCAAATAATAAAGAATAATGCATTTGGGTCTTTGCTTCTTTTTCAGTTCAGTAACTTCTGTGCACCATCTATTCCTGCAGTGCTGTAAATCCACACAAATTTTCTACAACACAAAGGTATTGCAGCAGTTCTTGGAAACTGGTAAAGGGAAGAGTCTAGGGGCAGAAGTTGACTTTCTTGTAACTGAAAGACTATGTGGGAAGTGAAACAAATTCTCTTTCCCTTCTGCTGAGCCAATATTGTTCCCTTTTAGAAAGAACTGCAAAGTAGTCAGTGCTTTGCTTTGCGGCCACTCTGTCCATAGATCAATTAATGGATACCATTTATCTACTCAGTTATTGTCTCCTTGTAAAAGAAAGAAAGAAAGAAAGAAGGCTCATGTTCTGCTGCAGAAGTGATGATTAAGCTATTTCACTGAGTCCTGTACTCAGGCATCAAGTGTAAACACAGTTGGGGATTCACATCCCTCTTGGAGCACCTCCTTCTTATCTTTGCGACCTCTCTCTGTGGCCCAGGCAGTGCTGGGGGTGAGAAAGAGGAGCAGTAGATGCCATTGCCCATCTTCTCACTGGCACACTGCCTGTCCAGTGAGCAAATGACGGCAGTGGTGAGGAAGAGCACAAGAAGCAGTATCAGTGGGTGGCATTGGGATGATGGGAAGGTAACACTGTTGAGGGATGCAGTCCACTGCAAGGGTGTCCAACCCAAGGACCTCCAGAATTTTGGGGCTGGCCTTGATGAGACTGCAGAACTAAGGGCAGCATGGCACCAGGGGAAAAAAACAAAACAAAACAGGTCATTTGTGCCGTCCTGTAATAGGTCGTTAACCCTAGTTAAACTGGGATAAATTTAATCAAAAAGGTAGACTGTTTTTCACCAGGACGGGGCTTGTCTCTTGCAATTACATAAACTTAAGGGAGGGAAGTTTACTATAAAACTTGTGCACTGACTTGTCTGCAACTGGTGCCTATGTACTTACACTGTCTCCAAAGATTAAACCAGAGCCTAGATTTCTTGATTTCCTAGTAAAGCCTGCAATGAAATGGAACTGAACCAACCTAACCATTGCACTATAAATCTAGAATGCCGTCACTAAGAAGTTTGAAACAGCACTGACGTGTGGGCAGAGGAAAATCAAATCCTTGCCACTTTTTTTTACAGCATCCTATTTTTGTCAAGATGAGTCCCTGAAAAAGCTGCAATGTTCTCTTAGCAACACAGAACAAAGTGCGAGTTTATTTCATTTACGTAGGAATCAACCTGGAACAATAATTCTTCGGTGTCACCCCATTAGGATGATTGCAATCAACTGGAGATACCACCTGGGGGGGGGTGGCCCAGATGGTTTCTCTTCTTTTGTTCATGTCTCAGGCTCCAGTTGCTGAACCAGAAGGGCATTCTTTCTTCCTGTGTTTTGTGAATCATGCATCATGTACGTACACACAGTGGGCAGCAAAAGTACCAGAATGTATGCACATGCAATGTGTCCGCAGGGCACACCCTGTTGTTGTCTGAGATTAGGACTTGACTCCCTACAAATGATGACATCAAGGAACTGCCTGGCTCTCTGGCTCCCTCACTTCCCCAATGTCATTCTCGCTTGCTTCCAACATGAGGGGCAAGGAGGGCTTTACAGAAATTGCAGGAAGGAGAAGGGGTCGTGGCAATTCAGGGCTTTGCTAGCTAATTCATTCCAGCTGTTGAGCAAGAAGGTTCTGCAGCCAGAAAGAGCTGCCAGTTACTGTAGGAGCAGAGGGATGACCGACAATGAGCCCTAACAAGGACCCAGACACCGGAGAGCTCCTCTCTCTGCACGCTCTGAGTGCTCCCCAAGAATTATTTGCCTTGGGGCTAATCTCAGCCTCAGTACTCCCACCTGCAGAATGGCTAGATTTTTTTCTCTGTGCTGAATTCTTAGCGTCCATCATGCCTGATTTTCTTGCATTCGGAGTTCAACGTGTACACTTACTACTTGCTTTCTCGCACTGTGGCACAATTGTAGACTGCGTGGCCTGGGTTTGTGCGGCTGCCTGATAAGCGTGGGTAGCGGTACGGGCTGCTGGCGGCGAACTTGCAAGCAGATGCATAGCGCTTATCCCTCGGGCAGAGCGTTTTCCGTCCCCGGAACGCGCAAGACCAGCTGCCCAGCGTCCTCCGCCCGTGCCCATCTCTCCTCTGAAGTTGCTCTGAGCCTTTGCTTCTCTCCATCCAGGGCGCTCATCGCCTCTCAGTCCCCGCGAGCAACTGCAGGCCGGACGCGTTCAGGCTGCGCGGCCGGGGGCCACCTTCGCAATCCGTTCCCTCCTGCAGAAGCAGCAGCCTCCAGCCTGCGCACTTGGGGAGGGAGCGCGCGTGGGAAGGGGAGAGGCGAGCGCGCCCGCCGCGCTGCGCCAATGGGGCGCCTCCTGAGGGCGGGGGCGTGGCCAGCGGGCTCGGGTCGGTCTGTCAGGCAGGCTCCCCGTACTAGGAGCTCTGCCGCCGCAGGTGGGGAAGAAGTCCTGCCGCCGCTCGCCCTGGCCGTGCGCTCGCCGCGCCTCAGGGCTGCCCAGCGCGCCGAAGAGCTCCGCAGAGCGCCTGCCTCGCGGCCGGGGCCGCTGTAGCGCGGCTGCCCGCTACTTTTCCGCGAGCAAGTGAGCGGGACGCAGGACTGGCCGCGGGCGCTCGCCGCAGGTCCCTCGCAGGTGAGGCGCGCCGCGCCGCTTCTCCTTTCCGCCTCCGCCCCAGGGAAGCCGGATTGCCCCGCGGCCGCCGTCGGGCCCCCGGGAGAGGGAGAGGGAGCGAAGCCGAGTGGGGTGCGCAGCGCCGCCCAGAGCAGGCGAAGGATGCGCCGGAGGAAGCGCTCCTCTGTCCTTGGTTTGAGGTCAGCAGGAAGGGCTCGGCGGGGACATCCGCCGCTCGCGCCTCCCTGCTGGGCTCCTGCCGGCGGCGGGCTGCCTCCAGCGAGGAGCGGCGGTGCACGGGCACGGGCACGGGGGGGGGGGGAACGAGATGCCGCCGGGGCCCTTCCCCCGCCGCCCGGCTTCCCGGTGGGAGACGGGGCGCGGGCGGCTGTCGTTCCGTGCCACGTTCTCCTCCGGGCAGCCTCGGGCGGCTCGGGGCAGCGAGCGGCGGCCGGGCTTGGCGCGCCCCCGCCCTTCCCAGGTCGGCGCTCGGTGGGGTCAGTGCGTGTGCGTGAGTAATCCTCTCCCGGAGCAGCCTCCTCCTTCCCCGCCCCGGCGCTCCTGCAGCAGCCGCCGCCGCCTGCCCGCCTGGGTGCTTTTCGTCGCTTTCGCTGCGCTCCGGTCCCGTGGAGGCGGCCCCGCCGTGCCCCTTCTGCGTTCCCAGGTCTCGGCGAGAGGAAGGGAAGGGCTAGTGCTTGGATTCAGACGGATGCGGAGTTCGGCTTCAAAGACAAACTTTGGCTCCTTTTTGCCAGTGCTTATGTGGAAGCCGATAACAAAACTTAACGTTACAAAAGTAGAAGGAAAAGGGACACCCCCCCCCCAGGTTTTCCTTATCTACTTCGTTATAGAGAGTTTAACATGCACGCTGCTATTCGGCTTACTCTTGATAGAATTCAGATTGCTTTTTCAGCCCGTCCATTCTCCAGTAAATGGTCCAAGCTTGGGGAGTGAGAATAGGAAAGAAATGAAGATTGCTCTCTTTGTTTGCTCATCTCTATCACACGCATACAGGGGATTCATCCCCTGCAAGACATCGCATGTTACTGCAGGACAGCTTTCCTCAACATGATGCTCTCTAGATGTTCGGGTTTACAGCTCTTACAAGCCGCAGTCAGCATGGGCAAGTGGCCAGTTATCCTGGAAGTTACAGCCCAAAACATTTGAAGGGCACCTGCTCGGGGAAGAGGAAAAGGGAAGCCAAATATACAGTATTGTATACTGCATGAGTCTCCCAGGCTCCCAATGCTAATGGAGCTTTGCATGTCCATCAAGGGGACATATATGCACCCTTCCACCCCCAAATCAAGGGGAATGGGGCTGAAATAGGCTAAGTTTTTAGCTGTCAGAACAGTGTTGGTCCGGCCTATGGGTTTTGTCTCTGCTGGGGTGATGCTACGTACACACGAGCTTCTTGCTGTTACAGCACAGAATCGCCCTGATGGTGCTGAAGCGCCCCTGGCCACGCGGCAGCGCCACCTATGGAGAACAACAGCAGAGACTGTACTATAGGGAGCTTGAAGGCTAGGCATTTATAGAAGCTTTAGCAGGGAGAAACAGCCTTAACGATCAGTCCGCAGGTGACGCGAAATATTCCTTTCTAAGAAGAAGCTGTTGGATTTTAGGGAATCTGGACTTGATGCTGGACATATGTATCACTAGAAAAAAAAATGCTTTTTCTGAAGTATTTTAATTGTTGTAATATTTATAAGTAATGTATTTGTAGATTTGATGCCTATGGAAAGCAGCATGCTTTTCATGGGCATCAGTGTGCCAGGCATCTTTCATGGTGCTCACCAAGGTGTTCTATCCCTTCCACTTTTATTAGCACACTTTCTGACTGGGAGCTGGGGCAGCTTTGAAATATGCTTCTGTTGGTGCTGAAAATTGTGAGTTGCTTAGTGTGGTGGAGTATGTAGAGGAAGAACTTTTTGTACAGGTTTCTTGTCCCCTTGTGTGCTTCCTTTGCACCATTTTTGGTGGTGCCCAGGAGAGTATCTCAAATGGTCAGATGTGCCTGAAAAGAGTGCCTCCCCCATGAGCCTTAAACAATGTTGCACCTGATAAAGTGTGTCCACAAAAGCTTGTGCCAGAATAAATGTGTTTGTAAGCAACCACAACACTCTCAGTTGCTATTTTCTTGCAACAGACTAGCACAGCTACCCCTCTGGAAAGCAATGTGGCAAAAAACTTGATCTGCTGCCTCCTTCCTAAGTATAAAACACGTTCACCTCTTTGTTTTAAGTATATATTTGTACTTCGGGCATTCAGGGTTGAAGATTTTGTTGTCATATTTTTGTCTGACTTCATTCTTAATGCTATAGTCCTTCCCTCTTAGCTTTTTCACTTTGTTAACATTTTAAGGAATGGGCTATTATTAATAAAAAGAGGCACTTGGCAGTAGCAAAAGTGTTCTTTTCCTCTGGTAGCACACACGTTCAGCATCACTCTGAACTTGGGTTAATGGTGATACATTTAGGAACATGAATGTTCTGATATCAGTAAGCAATGTTTGTCTCTTTCCTGGATGTTCTGGGTAATAGTGAGGAACTGAAAATATAGTCTGTGGCTGCCATATTATATCTGCCTTTAAACCTTCTCTTTCATAAATTGCCTTCTTACCTCATGCTGCCCACTACAAATAGGTATTGAAAGAATGCCAAGATTGGGTAAACATTAACCCAGAGCACAACAGTTTCCATCTCTGGCTACTTGAGCTGGGAGAGTAAACGGTAAAGGGACTGTGTTATCTGCCGCAGTAATTGGGATTCTTTTTTTAGTACTCTCACTTTGGGGTTCTTTTTAGAATTGGGCTACTTCCAAGAGCGACTGTGTTTATCTTCCTCTCTGTGGAACACAGTTGTTTTCGTACACTGCAGTTCAGTGACATTACAGAGCACTCTGCCTAAGCTAATTGCTGATTGTCCAAGCATGTTGCTGAGATGTTGAGACTTAGGGTGCTAAGAGCATCTGGGCAGTTGCATTTCATTAGGCTAAAGGCAAGGGAAGTGAAGGACTAGTGAAAGAACTGTCAACTGGGCAGGTTAATTGCAATCCCAGAAAGGGATGGGCTGGGATTCTGCTGAAAGCTGTCATTTCCAAAGAGCAACTTGCAATCTGGATAGGGTTATAGTGCATTAATGACTGAGAAGGTTCAGAGTACAAACTTCAGGATTGCATCAACAGATTCATGATGTATTTTGCAAGTGTCAGATGACTCCTGGAAGTTTCAGCAGTGTTTTTGCAAGCAACTGTGGACAATGCTGAATTGACTTTGTGCAATTAGATATTGAGTTTGATTAATAGGAACAGTTCTGTAATTCTGTCCTTATGCAGTATTAAGAACATGAACTTTGATATACTTTGCAAGGTGCATTTCCATATTCCCCTTCAAAGTTTAATTAACCAATTATAATTAATAATTTGGTGACACAAGTGGGACCTGCAGCAAGGTAAGGCTCCCATTCAGGGTTTCAGTCACTTGTTACCTCTGCTTTTTTGTTTTCCATCCTACACAATGGTCAGTGACTATGCTCAGTCATCACTGGAGTATTTTGAGCCACTGTACCCCTTTTTTGCCCTTGAAATAAGGTCCATCCTTATTTCAAGGAACCGAGGGTGGCATAAATGGGCTTGTCCCATTTTATCCTCATATGAATCCTGTGAGATTAGTTAGGCCAGGAACCAAGGGAGGTTTGTGTCTGTATGAATATTTCATGGCTCCATGTCCAAATTTCTAATAATTGTACTACCTTAGTACAGTGTACTTAGCCTGATAGGAAACTTGGAGAAGCACTCATTTCCCCAAAGCATTCATAGGGCAGATGTGGGAACAGCTGCAGACAAGGTGTGGCTTGTGGTCCTTCCTCAGCCAACTATAGTCCTGGCTTTGGCCTACCTGTTCCCTGCTGAAAAAATGTCTCCCCTTGGAACACCCTGAAAATCAGATCTCTCTTGCCTAGCAATTGGCCTTTGAAACAGACTTTGAATGGCTCCAGTTATCAGGGTGAGAATCTTGGTGTATGCAGAGTATATAAACTGATATGCATGAATGGAACATGAGTGAGGCTGGTGATATGCAGCCCTCTGGTAGGGAAAGAGATCCTTGGGGTGAAAAGAGGGACTGGTCATGCATCTTTGGAAACATGTTGCAAGCAAAAGCAGATGCCATATCTGCTTCTAGAGCTTACATGCAACAACAGTTCTTTACTTAACAGAAGCTTTGTCTTCATGAAATGTATCAAGATCAGGGCTTAAATTAATTAAAAACTATGTAAGTCCATTTACATGGTAAATGATTCCTGAACCCTGTTGGTTCTATTTTTAATTTTGCTATAGTTACTAAGGCTTTATGTATGTAATGTTTCTCATTGCCAACATACTTAGAATGTTTTATAATAGGCTAAAAATAGCTTCTTTACTTGCTTTTGAAATGTAGTCACCACATACATTGGGAAAACATAGCATAAAGGCACTGTTAGAGAGGAAAAAAGGGAGGATATAAGTTTTTTAATAATAATAAATTTTAAGTTTATTATTATGCATATCAAGAACAGTTCAAAAGACTGCCAGTTGAGTTTTGAACTTGTATTTAGTCTGTAGAGTAGGATCAGGAGGGCTAGAACACAGCTTGATAGAAATAAACAGAAACTCTTTGACCCTGTTGAACAGATGCCACTGCTAAGTGATCCTGAGAACACTCATGCATATGTAACAGTTGAAAAGCAGTGCCTTTGAAAATATTGAGGCAAAAGCTGTAACAGACATTTTAATGCTATATACTACCCCTGTTTTTGAAATCTGTAATTACCTGAATTCTTCTTATCCTCTTTTGTAAGGTTTCTAGTACCAGTGTCCAACACAGTGTTAAACATGCTCCTAATACCCCCAGTATTGTTGGATTGCCAGCAAAATCTGTGACTCAATGTATATTTTCTTTGTGGTGTGTCTGAGCAAAAGATGCAATCCTGTGTTCAATTAACCCCATTGAAGTAAATGAGATTTACCTCTGAGTAGGCATA